GTTCTGACATCCTGCCTCTGCATACAACATGAACGATTTTCCTGTATTACATTGTCTCTTAAGGTTTCCAGAATGTGTGTATGTACACATACACACACACATACATTTTATTTTTGTATATCTTAGTGATAGTATATATATTATATTTTTTTTTTTTTTGACTGAATTCTCACGTGTCACCAGCTTGCGTTGCAATGGTGCAGTCTTGGGCTCACTGCATCCTCACCCACCTCCCAGGTCAATGATTTTCCTTTTGCTCAGTTCTCACAGGTCTGGGATTTACAGGGCCTGCCACCATGGCCTGGCTTAATTTTGCTTATTTTAGGAGGACAGTGTTCCCATGCTGGCCAGGCTGGTCTTTAACTAACTTACTGACCTTAAGTTATCCATCTGCCTCGGCCTCCCAAAGTGCTGGGATTACAGGCTTGAGCCACCGCGCCCAGCCCAGAATATTTTTTATAGTCTAGAATTTTGTTTCAGTCATTGAAAATTTCACATGCCACTGACACTTAGAAAACATAGTTGAAAGATTTGCAAAGGAAAAACTTCCGTGGTGAAGTTATAGATAACACCATGGGTTTTTTCTGATTTTTTGTGGCGATAGGGTCTTACTATGTTGCTCAGGCTGAACTCTAACTCTTATGCTAAAGTGATCCTCCCATCTCAGCCACGCAAGTACCTGGGACTACAGGTGTGCACCACTGCGCCTGACTTTTTCACCACGGTTTTGAAGAATGCAGTATCATTCTGAATTAAAGCTTCTACCTAAGGTCAACATTATTCTCCCATTTAACAATTTTTTTTTTTAAATGGAGAATCTGAAACATGTACAAAAGAAGTAGATACTATCTTATGTATTTATTTGAGACAGAGTCTCACTCTTGTTGTCCAGGCTGGAGTACAATGGCAGGATCTCAGCTCACTGCAACCTCTGTCTCCCATGTTCAGGCGATTCTCCTGCCTCAGCCTCCCGAGTAGCTGGGATATACCACCATGCCCAGCTAATTTTTGTATTTTTAGTGGAGACGAGGTTTCACCATGTTGGCCAGGCTAGTCTCAAACTCCCGACCTCAGGTGACCCACCTGCCTTGGCCTCTGAAAGTGCTGGGGTTACAGATGTGAACCACCGCGCCCGGCCTTTTTTATCTTTAAAACATACAAACAAGTTTACAAGTCATTCCATTTACAATCAACATTATTGAAGTATGATTTACATTAAATGAATATCCATTTTCATTAGTTTGATGAGTTTCAACAAATATAAACACACTTGTAACCACCACCACCATGATTAAGGTAATAGAATATCTCCATCGTGCTCAAAGAGATTCTTCATGAGCCTTTCTAGTCAGTCCCCCCATATCCTGGTCCTAGGCATCCACTCATAGACTTCTTCATTGTAGATTAGATTTGCTTCTCTAGGATTTCAAGGAAGTGGAATCATAGAAGTGTGGACTCTTCTGTGTGTGTTCTCTTTTATATAGCGTGATGCTGATAAGGCTCTTCCACACCGTTCGTGTCTTGGGGTTTCGTTCTTTTGTATTACCGAGCAGCACTGTATTAGATGAACCATAGCTTGTTTATCCCTCCACCTGTTGATGGACAGGGATTTCTTAGATAGGACTTTAGATTCACTGATCTTTTTTTTGCAGTGTCTAATATGCTGTTAATGTTAAGTATATCTAGTAAACTCTTCATTTCTCTTTCTTTCTTTTTTTTTTTTTTTTTGGAGACAGGGTCTTGACCTGTCCCCCAGGCTGGAGTGCAGAGGTGTGAGCACAGCTCATTGCAGCCTTGACCTCCTGGGCTCAAGCAGTCCTCCTGCTTCAGCCTCCTGTGTAGCTGGGACCACAGGCTCATGCCACCATGCCTGGCTAGCCTAAAAAAATTTTTTTTGGTAGAGATGGGATCTCAGTTTGTTGTCTAAGCTGGTCTCAAACTCCTGGGCTCAAGCAATTCTCCCACCTTCCAAAGTCCTAGAATTATAGGTGTGAACTGCTGTGCCTGGTCTCATTTTTGATATTGTATTTTTTATCTCTGAAAGTTCCACTTGATTATTTTTCATAACTTCCATTTTTTCTCATGTTCATAGTTTCCTGTAAGCACATTTATTTTAGCTTTTCGAACAGCCTTATCTTCTGTTCCCACCATCTTTATTTTTTCTGGGTTTGTTCTCTTGACTCATTTTTATCCCTGTTCTGGGTCACATTTTCCTTCTTCACATGTCTAATGATTTTTGTTTGGATGCTGTGGCTATTGGGATTTCCCCATTGTTGAGTGCTGGACTTTGGTTTTGCTTTTTAAACTTTGGCATGCAGTTGGGTTACTTGCAGTTCAGATTGATCCTTTCAGGGCTTGTTTAAGCTTTCTTTGGGGCAGGGTTAGAGTAGCTTTAAGTTAGGCCTTTTCAACAATAGCGTTGTGACATTTTGGCATTCTCCAACTAAGTGACATTTTGATAATTCTTTGTTGTGGACCCTGTCCTTTGCATTGTAGGTGGTTTGCAGCATCCCTGGCCTCTTTCCAGTGGATGTCAGTAGCACTCCCTCCTCCCACCATTCTTGCCAACTAAAGATGTCTCCAGATTGCCACATGTCTTCCTTGGTCTCGAGTGTGTAAAATTATCACCTGTTGAGAACCACTGCTCTAAGGCTATTTAGCCAGACAATTACTGCAACCTTTCTGGGGTGTCTCCTGAGAGCTCCTAGGTGTTCAGCAGGGATTCCGTTGTCTGACTGATCAGAACTTGAATGTTTCCCAGGCCTCTGAGAGTTCTGGAGATTGTTATCGCTCATGCACCCTTTGCTCGGCTTTACAGAGTGTTACCCTCTGTGTGTGTGAATGTATTAACACAGACCCTAGAGGACCCCTGTGCAGCATTCTGAAGGCTTTTTTTCTGTGTAACTTCCTCTCTGATTCTCTGCCTGGCAAGTTCCAGCTGCTTCCATTCCCTGAACTTATTTCCTGTCTAACTCAGCAAGACTGCCGTGCTCTGCGTGACCTCTTACCCTGTACTGTGGTCTGGAAAGGGTCTCCTGGCTGATAGCCAGAGCAGGGTAAGGGTTACTTGGTTTGTTTCCCTTCTTAGGGAGCAAACTGTGTTGCCTCTTGCTCAACATCTGAAAACACTTGTTTCTTACATGTTGCCCAGTTTTCTAGTTGATAACAGCAGGAGGGTAAGCCTGATCCCACTTACTCCACGATGGCAAGAGTGGAGATCCATGACCATATACCATGGAGAGAACCCTGTCTCCTACTAAAATAGCGCAAATTTGCTATGCCAACGACTGTGTGGCCGCAGTGGCCTGTAATCCCAGCTACTCGGGAGAGACAGACAGCAGGAGTGGCTTTATATGTGTATTCTTTTGAGGCAAAGGTTGCGGTAACGCCGAGGATTGCGCTATGGCACTCACCTGGGCAACAAGAGCGAAACTTGTCTCAAAAAAAAAAAAAAGAAAAAAAGAAAAGAAAAACTAGGTCTCGCTTTGTTGCCCCAGGCTGGTCTTGAGCTGCCCAGGCCTTCGGAGCAGGTCGTCCTGCCTTCAGGTCTCTTCCTAACCCAAAGTAGCTAGGGGATTTAACAAGATGGGAGCGCACTGCAGTCTTGCTGTAGATAAGATATATCTTGAAAATCGCAGTCTAGCCATTTTGACGGCAAGGTTGCGCCTTAGCTAGCTGTGCTGGACTATCCGTGCCGGCATCACAGGAGCAGTCAATATCAGTTGCATCTACGACAGATTTTGGCTACAAGATGCACCGCTCACAATTAAGGCCAGACCTCACCATAATGAATTTCTTATTTAAAAAAAAAAAAATTTTTATTTTTTTTTTAGACGGAGTGGGCCTCTGTTGCTCAGGCCTTGGAGTACAGTGGCCATGACCTTGGCTCACTGCCAACCTCCACCTCCTGGATTCGAGTGATCCTTCCACCCCATCAGCCTCCTAGGTAAGCTGATATTACAGGCAATGCACCACCACCCGGACTAATTTTTGTATTTTTAGTAGAGCATGCGGGTTCACGTAGTGTTAGGCCCCAGGCTCGC